GCTAGTGCAGTGTGGAGGATGCGTTGTGCTGCAGCGTTTTCGCTTATCCGTTGTTGGACGTGGAGTCGTAGGGTTATATATAGAACGGAAGCTTTGCGAAACGCATTTCAATTCAAGGATCTCACACTTCCTTCTTTCATGCCTGATTTTTCTCTCCTGGTGACTAGCGAGAAGCGAATTGTACCTCGTCAGATCTACTGTCACTAGCTCTGGGAGTTTATACAAGTGTTTCTATTCTGATCAGATCCTGCTGACGGCGACTCCTAGAGTACATATCCAGAGGCATCTCATCTATGGTACCTGTCTCTCGTCTTGTCTGCGCCTTCCCAATCGTGTCCCTCGTGGCAGCAAAACTCTGGCCAGGCATCTATCATTGGAACTTCTGGCTCGTAATTACTACACACAGACAGGATAAGACAACTGCGAATGAAGGCGGCGTGTAGATCAGGCTTCAGGTCGGAAGACATGGGGAAATGTTTCCCCATCTGGGTGCTGCGGGGTTGACGATGTCCAGGAAATTTTGGAAAGTCTGCCTATGCTGCAGCATGCATGATCTGATCCCGTCTCCCGCCCTCAAAAATAGGTCTGGAAGTTCAAATGTAGATGTTTTTCTACCTAGAGGATATGACGATATAGCTTTTCCGCGGGAAAGTATACCTCGAGTGAGGATATGGAAGCACTGAGTTAGCGGTGCCCGAAGTTCCAAGTGCAAGAATGTGAACATTTTCTCCTTCCAACTTTGGGAGATAGTAACGCTCTTGAGTGTCAGATTTTATCTGGTTAGACTACTGGCAGTTAGCTGCAAGCTCCGTGTTGATACAATATCCTTCGCAGGATCCTAGGTTACTCTTTTAGCACCTTCTGTTTAAGAGGATGACTCGGTCAGTAAATTTTATTTTTATTTTCTTCCTCACAAGGTGCACCAGTCTAATACCTTATGCCAGTCAGTGATCTACCTTATCAAACATGTCTCAGTCGTCGTAGGGTGTTAATGATTATTGCAGAGAGCAGAAGATCGCGGGGAAGTAATGACCATGTCGATGTTGACACTGGGGTCTGGGTGGCATAGTGTAAGCGAGGCGAGCGAAGTGACAACCTTGTTCAACCGAGTTTGAATGTTTAGAATACGGTAAGCCTTTTTGGTGTTATGGTTTACTTTGCTCTGGAGCCCTTACGCACAAACCTATGAGCTCGAAAGTTGAGATGCAAAGATAAAGTCAACTGATTATCATGAGCCCAGGGCCTCGAAGAATGCTTATGAATGTGATCACTAAACATCATGCTGTCGGGTATGCAGGAGACCGAAGGGTCACATAAACAATACACCATATGTCAGCACATCAGGTAACATGAAAAATGATTACTATCAAAGAATATAGCTTCCAAAATTATATAAAGGAAACCTGCATGTTTAAATTTCCGTGATTCATCTCTCAAAATCTCTCTGAGTTGGAGGTATTTCAAAGTTCTGAACTTTTTCCAAAATCCCCACCCTGTCTTAGAAAGCACCATGTCTTCTCCCATCAAAAAGGTTACGATCATAGGCGCCTCCGGTGACATTGGAAGAGCAGCCATAACTGCTCTTCTTTCTGATGGGTTCAACGTCTCGGTACTTACACGGGAATCCTCCAACGCCGAATTCCCCTCCGAGGTCACAGTCTTTAAAACAGACTATTCGACTGCATCTCTCCTCCGCGCTTTCAAAGGCCAAGATGCCATCGTATCCGCTATTGCAGCAGCCTCCGCTCAGCAACAAACCGCCATCATTGATGCAGCAATCACGTCGGGCATCCGACGCTTCATACCATCTGAATTCGGCATGGATACCGCGGATCCCAGAGCAGCGGCTTTCGTTCCTGCGTTGAAGCTAAAGCAAGAAACTATCAAGTATTTGCAGACGAAGCAAGACTCTGGCCTCTCCTGGACTGCAATCGTCGTGGGCTCTCTCTTTGACTGGACCTTCAAATACCCGGGGCTGATGGGATGGAACCTGCCTGAACGCAAAGCTACTATTTTCGATGGAGGAAGCTATGAGTACGAAGCCACGGATCTGGCGCAGATGGGCCGTACCATTGCAGCAGTCCTCAAACCTGAAAATCTTGAGTCGACGAAGAACGAGTTCGTCTATGTCAATTCGTTTACCATAACCCAGAACAGAGTTCTTGCAGGCTTCAATAGGTTGCTAGAACGTGATTTGGAGGTCGGGTCAGGGAGTGCAGGAGAACTTGGGCGACAAGGCTTGGAGGGCATTGAGCGGGGTGAGGGGTGGCAAGCTCATAAGGATACTATCGTAGCTGGCATTTATGGATACGGGGAGTTGAATAATTATTCTAAGACAAGAGGATTGTGGAACGAGAGGTTAGGCCTACCGGAGCACAAGTTGGAGGAGAGTTTAAAGAGAATTTTGGCTAGTCTTGACGGTGAGAAGTAGAAGAAATAAGTAAACATGGTCAACATTTATTGCTCGGTTAGACCCCTTTTTTTATTGGATCGTGGATCTCTTGTTACTATAGCTAGCTTTCTTCCCTTGAACGCACTTTTGTTAAATACGCTTTGTTGAATGCGAAGGATGTGTTTCGTGCTCGGGGATTAAGTTTTGAGGTAGTGGTGGGGTAGAGTTCCGCTCAAAACAACTTATCGATTGTGATCAGAGAAAGGAGACCGTATTTGGAGTCGCTGAAGCTTTCGTATTCGATTGCAGAAGTTGAATTTTGGGTTCTGTTGAAGAAAAGATGCGGATGTAAGTGAGCGCTGACAAGAATGTCAACCCCACAGAGAATAAGCGAGACTTGCAATTTTCAACCTCCTCTCCGAATCTATCTGGAGCTCTTTCCAAGAACTTCAACGATGTAGCTTTCCTCCCATGTACCGAATGCCCTTCTCTAAATCAGGCATCAATGGATCTTCACTCACTGTTCATTCGCTGTTTGTTGCCAGAAAGTCTTTCAATCTCTGACTCCTTGTGAACAGGCTGGTCTGACCGATTGACCCATGCTGAAGCCTGGACTCGGACTCTACATGTTTCTCAACTACCAACTTCACGCCTAACGTCCATTGCATCATCATTTTCTATATTAAGAGTAGGTATGGAATATGTACCGGGCTGCGATCTGCCTTTGTTTCGTTGGAATGCAATCAGGACAGTGTCATCTCACTTCCAAGCATGGTTGATGAACTCGAGAATCGTCGGTTTAGACCGTGAGCCATGTCAGTAAGTCAACCATTTTCTGCAGAAAGAATGCAGGAATACTGGCCACCTGTAAGTTTCTGAGATGAAGCAGACGAAGTTCGCTCTCATCCAATGCCACAGAATTCTATCTTGAATGAAAAACATGATGTTGCCCAAGCATGGTTGAGTGAGTGTCCAAATTTGGAAGGAACGAAACATGACGGTAATCGATTATGATCGATTTAATGAGCGATGTTGGAAGATCAAGGGAAATCGAGACACACCCGTCTCCTGCCAACAAGATACAAAGCCCCCCTCGCTTCTACCATAATTTGTCCGTCAAGGACGCAGGAGAGCAACAATTCCTAGTGAATTCTTAAATTATTCTCGGACGCTCTGGAATTGGACTTAGGCCCGAGTCCCTGTCAGAACGCACTTGAATTGAGAAAGGCGAGAAAAGCGAGTGGAGAATTCCAAGGGCATTGACTACTCGAGTCAAATCCGAATACCCGAACAATAAATGTAGGATGCTATGTTCGGTTGAAAACACGGACGAACCGATGTCGGCAGAGACAGCAAGCAAAATTACACCAAGAATTCCTAATTATAGCCACAGAATGAGAAAATCCTCAGAACACGAAGACAGCTCCTGTCTCAAGCTTGAGCCACCTTCATCTGGTGAACGTGATTAATGCCCCAACCTTTTAAGGGTTAAAAAATTGTACTTTTAAGCCAAGCAAGGCAACAGTAGCAAGCAGCATTGTTGCAGGTACATAAGTATGTGTGTAGCATGAAAGCCGTTGAGTGTGACAAGATCGCTTGTAAGTTGGCTGAAAACTCAAAGAGAATGGGTGCAGCACTCGCAAGGATGGATAGAGATACCGATAAGGGCCAGAGGCCAACTTTCTGGAGAATTGAATTCCCCTGCAACAATAATTTGGAGAACAATTGCACAGAAAATCAAAACGACTACGGCTACGACAACACCGGTTTGAATCTGTGTAGCAGATAGCTGCAGCAAGGGAGAGTCATCTGCTCGATGTTAGTGTTGTCGAAAGAGGTCTAGTGACGAGTTTTCCCCTCAAAAGGCACGCAAGCCGATTGGTTGGAAGAGCGAAATTCTTGCGCATACCAACACCTTTTCCCCAAATATCTCAAGGTGATCATTCCTAACATTTTTGGGCTATGTTAGAGATGGAAAGTGCAGAACCGTTGACTAACCTTACAGTGGGGGGAAACAAGGAGGCGATAATTGTTTGCGGCAGCATCCTGCATGGCATGGTGAAGTTGCAGTTCTGAATATATAGGTAATCGAAACGGATCATGATTTATTTACCTAGCTGGACGCAAGGCAAAACTTTCAAAATGAGGGGTCTTATTTGAAACAATTAGCGGAAACGTAACCTGTTCATGGCCCCTGTGGGCTTGTAAGGGAAGAAAGAGGTGGAGGTGGAGGTGGGTGCACTATCGAGTGCAAGATAAAATGGCCGAATGACGCACGTGCAGAACATCAAAGTCGACATGTCCAGCGCATCACGCACAACTCTCTAAGGAAAAATCTGCTTTTGTAAATAATGCAGAAATAGCCAGTCTATACCTTTATAAGAAAATATTTTATTGTCTTCTCCAAAGTTGCGATAATAAATGCGTATTTGCCGCAAAGTGGCATCTCGCCTTAATCGGCCACTTCATCTTGCACTCGATAGGTGGATTATGTGCCTCGCTTAGCTGACTACTAACCCACTATTTTGCGCACCAAATGCATAACGGTACATTGTAATGAGATAAGAAAATCTGGGGCATGATCAGCGCTTCAACGGGCGATGACGAAGCTCCAATGGCGCAATGGTAGCGCGCGAGACTTCTATTCTCTTCTCAGGTACGGAAGTCCATCTCGAGGCTGTGGGTTCGAGTCCCACTTGGAGTGCGCGCACAATTGGAGAGTAAATTTTTGCATTTTTTGTATAGTTTGACTTCGATATGTGTGTTTCGGGAGTAAGTCTCGGAAGTTGGTAGGTTTCGGAAGTTGGCAGGTCACGGAAGCTAACAGTTGTAGAAGTGTGTAAGCGAGTCCAAGTCTGACTAAATGATTCGATAGATTTCCCTCCCGTACGCTGAACTCCTAGTAGCGAGATACCGCGCATAATCAAATTTTTAGTAAGGGAACATCGGATATTCTAGAAAAGCCGACGTCTCCTGAGGTAAGGGGAAAGGAACTGAGGATTAAATCCGAGCCAGCCTACCCATTACTTTTCACAATTCTACGCACGCACTGGTTATTAGAATAGCTACAGGGGAATCAGCTTCTCACACGATTTTAGTAGCAGGAGTCTCAGCAGGTAGGTGCCTTTGGATCGATCCAGGGACAGGGCCTACCTGTGAGTCCCTACCCTCGCCATTACGTCCACGCCACCATCAATACAACACCAGCTGGTGCCAATCCCTTCTATAATTCTGCGCCGTTAACGGGTTTATAAAAACCGATACCACCACCTCACCTACCCTACTTGCTAACTCACCCAATTTGCTTATCCCATGCTCGAAATCAAGTAATCTTTACACGTATCGAGTTTTGGCCTTGCGTTTTCATCAGCACGAGGACACGAATAGAGAAGAGGGGTGCATATGACTGTTACTATCGTGAGATAAATCACAAGGGGAAACCCGCCTTTAGGTGTAAGTCGCAAGTAATACTCGGTTTTGATTGTTCAGTGGTGTCTCGTAACCTGCGGTAGGAATTGGAAGATCTTATGTACAGGACTGAGCTTATTATGCAAGGATTTTGTGGAAAGTTCTCATGCAAAAGGACCAAGACGGTGAGGAGTACCAGGATAGAAACCCGGGCGACACCCTGATTAATTGTGGAAAGCTACTGTCTCTGCTTAGTCTATTACCGACTTAACTGCCTAGATCCTGCGCTAAAACCTACTTAGACACTGCTATCACCGGTGCTAAATACAGCATCTCTAACAACGCATGCTAATATGGTAATGCTAATACTGCCATCACCAAAGCCGCTACTCCTTGTGTCATTACTAGCTGCTCTTCCGCGGACGCCTGGAGTAAGTACTTCAATTCGGCAATACGAACAAGTTCGATTTACTAACATAATCATAAACACTTAATCCCTCACCTCCCAGATTTGCGTTCTTGTCGCTGCCAGAGGATCTTCTGGAGGATTATTATCTGCTGCTTCCTCTGCCGCCTCGTCTGCCACCAGCGCGGCCAGTTCTATAAACTTCTCATTTCCGATCATGCCGATCACTTCACTGACTGAATCATCAGGCTGCCTCCTCCGTAGCATCCTCCGCGGCTAGCGCCTCCTCCACTGCCTCATCTGTGGCTTCATCCGCCGCCTCTGCTGCGACCAGCGCTGCCAGCTCTGTAAGATAATCTCCCCCAATATAAACTCTCTTGACTTTGGGCAATGACTAATGATGAAAATAGGCTGCCAGCTCTGCCAGCACCGCTGCCTCTCCTACCACCTCTGCCCCAGCCGCTGTTAGCAACGCTGCTGGTAAGATGGAGGTTAGAGGCCTCATGGCTGGTGCTGCTCTCCTCGCTGCTTTCGCTTTATAGGCGAAGCAGGTCGAGTGTACAGTATTAATGGTGGGAGAAGGAAATGGGTGAGAGAGAAAAGTAATGACCTGTACATAAGCGTACAGTTGCACTAAGTAAAACATAATACTGCCAAATAAATTGATCAATAGGCCTTCATTCTCTCAACTTGACATTACAGAAACAAAAAGTGATGACAGAAAAAAGTGATGACAGAAAAAAGTGATGACAGAAAAAAGTGATGACAGAAAAAAGTGACGACCCACGCATGACGATGTCTCTCAACCGAATATTTCGATAGTAGCCGCTTCATGTTATGCCCCACTTGGAACAGTCCACTTCCACATTTCGAACCAAGGTTATCTGAAAGTCTCGAATTAATCTAATATTCTATCCTCGACACGTCTAGACTCTCGCATAACCGCTGTCTCATCTACGTCATGAAATCTCTATACCTCCCCAAAGCCGGCTGTTGACTCCCAGTAAACTCCTGGTTCAAGCCATCCAGCGCAGCGAAATGCGTCGCAAACTTCAAACCCCTCTTATTCTCCCTCTCAATCCTCGTCCAATCCCACTCATCCGACGTCTCACTCTCAGGCGTTACAGTCCCTTCAGCCTCCTCCAAAGTCTCCGGCGTCGATTCTCCAGAAGGTCCAGACATCGTCGCCCACCGACCCGGTCTCGGCGGAAGGAGTCCAGACGCATTCAGCGAGACCTCAGGATGTATCGTCAAGCGACTAAGTTTAATGATATATTTACTAATCGCAATCGCGAAAATAGCCCTCTCATCCACATCCTTACTCTTTCTCTGGCCTTTCATAGTCTTATACCCTTCCCGAACCAGCTTCTTTCAGTCAAGATATAAGTGGTAAGTTTAACAGTTCCCTTCTTCACGAAATGCGTCACTACGTATATTTACTTGCGGTTCTAGCACAGTAAACGGCTCCACATCTCGAGGCCTTAGTACATCCCGATCTCGCGCTTGAAACTATATATTACGCCGCCGAGAATAATACTTTATCTGCTTACTACGGGACTTCCTTACTGGTCGAGCACGAGCTTATTCTTTTTATTATACTAGAAGGCTTTAATACCGGGTTGGAGACAGTGTGAAAAACGATTTGATTTGATTTGATTAATGGCTATTAATCATATTCAAATCAAGCAAAATCTTGATTAATCAAAATCGAATCAAATCAAACCAAATTAATCAAGTATTAATTAATTAATTTAATTAATATAAGAGCCGCATCCTAATTGGGACTAGATTTTAAAACTAAGCTTAAAGAATATTAGTATATACTAATAATAAAATCAATTAAAGTCTAACAGTCTCGGTTAATCTAGAGAGCCTCGCTTAACCCAAATAAAGTAAGAAACATATTTTATTTAATTTATAACACTTAATTAGTAATTGATATTGGATTAGTAAGCCTTATTAATAACCTAATAATAATATAGTCGTTTTAAGATCGAAAATCAAAAGGTTTTATTAATAGAAAGCTTATTTATAAGCAAGTGTTTGTATTTGTCAGCAAATTCTAAATACTAATTTAAAGAATTCAACAGGTTTTTACTTGTTATTTATTTAATCAAGTAGTTTATAAGTTGATTATTCTTTAAATTCATTCATTATTTATTAAAATACTCGCTAATTTAATCTATTCTTATATTATATATAAATATCGAAAGAAAAAAGTCATTAATCAAATTAATCTAGAATAATCTAGATTAACTAATCAAATCAAATCAAGTAAAATTTCGATTAATCAAAATCAAATCAAAGCAAATCAAATTAATCAAATATTAATTGATTTATATGATTAATTTTGCTCACACTGGTTGGAGAAAGGCGCAGAGGAGATGCGAGCAGATTACATCGAGGTCAGAGAAATACGTGCTGTTAGATTTATAGAAATTATAATCGTATTCTGTAAGTGGAAAATGCGAGCTCGTTATCACAGAGAAGAAGAATATAAATAATACGATAAGAGGTAAGATGTTAGGGAGGCTGAAGAGGCAGTGTTTGAGTATCGCGTTGAAAACTCGGTGCTGTGAGGATATTGTGTTAGTTTCGAGTTGAGTTAAGTTTGGAAGGAGAGGAGGGGAGAGGAGAGAAGAGGTTTTGGTTGCATACGTGCTATGCGAAAGGTACGTTCTTGATGTTTGCTAGCACGAGTAAGACTGCGATTATCCGCGAGTAACTCTCTGGTCTAGTGAAGGTGCTAATAGCGAGGTTTCTGAAGCTGACTTTGGATACGCCGGCATTGATTATAAAGGCAGTTGTGAACGTTATGGATTTCAGAGGAAGACGAGTTGCGGACGCCATAATGGCAAGTAAGGACCGAGAATACGAAAGGAAAATAAGATACGAGAAAAGAAGAAAGGACTGTTGATGATGGGGATATACTTATTTTCGCTCTGGGCGGAAAAGGAGGCTGAGAAGTGAGAACGAGTCCCTACAATTCGGCCGAGGCATCGGTGATTCGCTCGTGAAACGCCGATGTGACTCAGTCATTCTTTCATATGCTTCCACCAGCTGCAAGACTGGCAACTGCCTCTAGTCAATGAAGAGGTTTGCATCTTCAAGGCCAAACTGGAGAACAGAAGTCTAGGATTTTCGCTTCTAGACTGCGAGGAAATCTGATGTGTACCGGACGCTGACACCGGGCCGTACTGCGTGATGCTCATAATTTTCATCTGTCTGGCCAGCTCTCGTGCGATAACACACACGCACGCACGCACTGTCGATGCCCTCTCCCGTCAGTACCGCATGTTTTCACCAAGTGGAGCCTTGGGTAGATACGTGGAACCCAGGGTCCCTTTCACCCTTTCACCCTTTCACGGCAAATATCACTTGGAAAGACATGTTCTTATCACCTGACCCAAACTCCTTTGAAGTTGGTCTTACCTTCCAACTTGTTACCTAGTATCTGCGAGGCAGAGCGACCTCCCGCGGGTCTGGATACTTTTCATTTCCAATCAAAAATTCCTTTGGCGTTTACACTTGTATTTATGGCTATTACTAGTTTTAAAATAGCCCGCGTTTGCAGCGCGCGCGTATTTGAACCCAAAAGATGCACGAGAAAAAGGGCTTACATGCCAACAACTACAGGGCCGTGAAACAGTTTTCTCAAGATCACGCGTTATCACTGGCCAGATTGGTAGGATAAATGGAACAATCCAAAACTAGAGGTTGATACCCTTGGATGTGGTCGCACATCCGGGAAGAAACGTCACTTGGCGGAGGGATGTTGCTGTCCAAAGAAAGTGGCACAGTCAATCACGATTTGCATTCTTAAGATTCACTTCTCTTCCAGCTTCCGTCTTACTCCAACATTCCTGTCCCATCTTCCTCGAATCATGTCA